GCGCGGGCGCGGACGGGCGCTGGGAGCTGCTGCTCCGGCGCGGAGAGCTGCTGGCGCTGGGCGGCCACCTGAAGGGAGCGCTGGAGGCGTTCGCGGCCGCGCTGAGCCGCGGGGCCCCGGCAAGGCCCGAGCGCCTCGGCTCGCTGGTGGACTGCCTGGTGTTCAACTACCGGCTCCGCCACGGGCTGGGCTGGAGCGCGGCGCCCGCGGCGGGCGCGGCCGGGCTGCTCAGCTGCCTGGGTTGCCGCGGCTTCCTCAGCGAGCCGGTGACCGTGCCGTGCGGACACAGCTACTGCCGCCGCTGCCTGCGGACGGAGCTCCGCGCCCGCTGCCGCTTGTGCCGGGACCGCCTGCCTCCCGCCGCCCGCACCCCGCGGCCGCCGCCCCTAGCCGCCGCCATCGCCGACTTCCGAACTAGCGTTGTGCTCAACCACCTGGCGGAGAAGTGGTTCCCGGGCCAGCGCGAGCGTGCGCGGGCGGCTGGCCGCCTCGGAGAGCTACTGCACCAGGGGCGCTACCGGGAAGCCCTGACGGCCGCCTGCGACGCGCTGCGAGCAGGTGACGCGGGCTGCGGCGCGGGCCGGGCGACCGCACCCTGGGCTAGACGGCCGGCCGCCTGGAGGGAGCTGGGCTGTGCCCCCGGGCTGACTTGGGACCGTCGGCCGGGCGTCGCGGTGGCCGCGGGCGTGGGAGGGGGCGGCGCCCCGGGGTGCTTCGGTCACAATGGGGATCGCCCGGGAGCCGCGAGTGACGCGGCGCGGGGACCCGGGGATCCCTCGGGCGCGCGCGGCGGGGACCCGGACGCGGGTGGGTGGGAGACGAGCTACCCCGCTCGGTTTCCGGGGAGTCGCAGCGGGACCCGGAGAGGATCCCCGGGCCGGGAGAGGGGGACCACGTCCTCCTCCCTTCTCCCACCAGAGTCACCGGGGCAATTGGAAGCCGCGGGAGGGCAGAATTGCATAAGCGGGGGAGGGGGGGGGTCGTTGTGTAACGGGTGACGTCCGGTGGGCGTGGCGGGAGCTCGGCGCGGCACCGGCACCGGGAGGCCCGGCGCTGCCCGGCTGGGAGCCGGTGACCGGGCAGCTCTCTGCCAGGGACCTGCATCACTTCCTCCTGGAAGCCCTAGCCTGCCTGTCCGTCCTCTTCCTGCCGGCATCCCTGCGTGCTTTAGCTTAGACCTGGTGTTGGAGGGTGGCAGTCTTCCATCTAGAGTTTTTGCTAGACCTCTTTGTCTTAGGTCGTTTGTGATTTTTTTCGACTCCAAAAAGTAGCAGCTTTGTGCTCCACACCTGGGTTAGCACTTAGGATGGTTTAGGCTGCGAAAGGGGATATTCCCAAACTTGGTAAAATGAAGAGTTCCTTTTTAGATCATTGAAATCGGCACTTCTCTATGGGGGCGGGGGGGGGGAGAGAAGGGAAAGGAGGGAGGGAGAAGAGAGAAAGAGGATTTACCATCTCAGGGGACCTTTTCTAGAACAGTAATGACATTCTGGACTGCCACTCCTTGGTATGGACATTTAGTGGCTGGTCCAAGGAAGCTAACACCCCAGGACTCATCGAAAGACTTTTCAGCCCATATGTCTACAGCATCATTGTTGACAACCTTGTGTTAGGCATGTTTTTAAAATATTGAAGGGGATAATCCCCAGGAAAATTAATAGAAACTGAAAGATGCAATGATAATTGGTGTGACATCTTGGTCTTTTAGTCGTAGTGAACTACGATATTCAGTTAATATCTTTGAAACTCAGAGCATAAACCTGGGATATCTTCATATTTCAGTGTCTTTTTGAAGAGTATGAAGTGATAAACTACAATGATAGATCCAGAACTAAGAAAATTTTGGAATCCACAGTTGGTGGGGTTGACTCTAGATAGATGAATAAATTCAAGTTCAGGGAAGCTGGATCTGGCTGTCCCAGTCACCCAGTAACTGGCTATGGTTTGATCTTAATGAGGAGGCAGTGCTAGGACAGCACAGTGATTTATCCTGTCACCTATGTGGCAGCTTGTGTAGGTGGCTCAGATCCCTCTGCTTCCATGTTTGGACCCAGGGCTTCACCTGTCCTTATAGCTCACCTAATAGAAATATTAACATGTATTTTCCAAAGAAGATTGTGTGTGTGTGTTATTGATGTATAATGACACTTAAAAGTAGTACATGTAGTTATTTCATCTTTTCATATTAGATGATTCATAAGAATTCAGGTCCTCTCCATAGGAAAGTAGCGAATTTACCAAGTAAGATCTAACATTCAATGAATAATATTTTAGTTAAAATTCTAGGATTTGGATCAAGGATATTATTTTTAATAGAAAAAGGTTCTGAAAGATCAACTCTTTGTTTTCAAGTGTAGGGGTTGTGCGCGCATACTGCCTAACCACGTTTGCAGAGCTAGAACTCTAGTCTCTTCTTTTACCTCCTTAACTTACTTTTTCATCATTTGTAGGTTTCTCAGACATCAGTTTCATACCTGAATATGTGTGTCAATAGTACAAATGAGAATAATATTTTTTACATTTTGAATTTTTAGAATGAGGTAAAAGGGAAAAAAAAGTTATAGAGCCAAGCACACTTTAGTTGTTAGAGGGGAGTTTTTATGTTTTGTAATTTATGGGCATTAATAAGGGTGAGAGTATAGGTCAGGGATGGCATGCCTGCCCAGGATGAGTAAGACTGCTGCATTCCCAGCCTGCAAACAACCCCCACAGTTTGTTAGATGATAGCACCATAAATCTGTTTGTACAGTTGTCAGTGTTAACTTCTTTTTGGAGTTGGCAAGTTAGCTAGGTGGGCAATTGAAGTGTATTTATGTAATTGTACAGTTCTAGTTATTAATGGTGTTGTCATTGTTGATAATGAAACAAATCTTAATTATAATTTTTCATGTTTCTTAGAATGAAGCAAATACTATTAGAAAAAATAATCTTGCCTACAGTTGGCCTACATGCATCCAAACTTAGCCCTGTCAACAGAAAAAAGAGTTTGAAAACTGTGCCAAAATCAAGTCCCATTGAGATTACATAAGGTTCTGTTGCATTGAAATATATTTAGATAACATTTAATCCATTGATCTTTTGGTATTAACTCTCAGATGTTTCATAACTTTTTAGTATTCAAGGAGATTATGTAAAAAGTCTTTTCTGTGTTGAATCTTTATACTCAAGTCTTTTGAACTGATCCTTACTACGGAGTGCTGTTCTCTTTTTATTCTTAATGGATTTTTACACTGACTTGCCTCTGTCCTGTGTTTACCTCTCTCCTCCAGAAGAAAATAATGAACAATATGATTTTTTGGGTCTTTTTTAGGCAGGGTCTCCCTGTAGCCCTAGCTGGCCTGGAACTCACTGAGTAGACCAGGCTGGCCTTGAACTCACAGAGATCTGCCTGTCTCTGCCTCCTGAGTGCTGGGATCAAAGGTGTGTGCAGCAATGTACAGCTCACGAGCAGTATAATTTGCAATTTGAACTGATTTAAAAAAAAAAAAAAGTCAGCGCCTGTATGGCTCAGCAGTTAAGAGCACTGGTTGCTCTTACAGAGGATCCAGTTTGAGCTCCCAGCACCCAAGTGGCAGCTAACAACCATCCCTAACTCCAGTTCCGGGGGAATCCAACACCCTCTTGAGACCCCTGTGGGCATTGCAAGACGGGTACGCTTACATGTGGGCAACACACTCATACACATAAAAAATTTAAAAAGTCACAAGAGGGAGAGTATTTTACTTAGATTTGAGAAAGGAGGAAAAATTTGTTAGTTTTTAAATGTTTTTATTTTTGTCTGTGTCAGAGAACAACTTTGGAGAATCAGTTCTTTTCTTCCATGTTGGACTTGGGAACTGAGTTCAGGTCATCAGGCTTTGTAGCAAAAGCCTTCACCTCATCTCACCAGCCCAAATTTGTCTTTGATGTTAATTTTGTAATCCTTGACAGCACTTTAATATACTTTATCATTGGGTCCTACGGAGAATCTCAGGGAGAGGAATTGCCCTCAGAAGGAAACTGAGACCACTAGATCTAGAAAATTCTCTGTGGCTTAGTGACCAACCTCTGCCCTCTGGAGGCAGGCCACCTGGGTCTCTTGGGGTCTCTGCCTACAGTGTCACCTGGGCATGTGGCCTCATCTCTGTTTTGGTTTCCTTGTCTAAAAATTGAGCATGGTCTTTCTCTCACAGGATGGTTGTGAGAGAATTTAATGTATGAAAAGACATGAAGTGCTTCAAAAACTGCCTCACACAGTGAATTCCAAGAAAAATCGTAGATGTTTTTAAATGTAAAAATTTTGTTATGGTTAGATGATTTAGCTGAACTTGAAATCTAAACCTTGTGATTTTAAGTCTTACTCCATTCTTTGTATGCATTATTCTCATAATAAAGGTTAAATCCTGATTCTAGTTTACACATGTTAATTACTAAAAAAGGTATTACAAAGTTTGGGTTATAAAAACATTAGTCAAGTAAATTCTGAATACATTTAAAGAGAATGTAAAGGGTTTTTAATATCTTCAAAACTCATTTTAGAAAGATTATATTTTAATTTAATCTAAGCTTATTTATATCCTTACTGTGCAAAAGACTTGAAACATTGGCAGTTATTCACAGAGTATGTTTATTTCTGTCCTCTTAGCTGAACCCTTACAGAAGCCATGTGAGTTGGACGGCAAGCCTCAGTTTTGCTGTTCATGGGCTGGAGAAAAAAAGCTCAATTTTAGATGACTTTTAAGACAAATGAGCAAGTTAAAACTAAAAGCAGAAAACAGGCGACTATTGCCTCTGAATATGAAGTAGACTAAGATACTAGCATAATGGGGTGTTTTATGTACTTACACAACCCAGAAACCTAATGGTAACAGTCATGCATTGCTTAAGGATGAGAAGACTTTGAGAAATGGGTCTTTGACAGTTCCATTTTATTTAATACCCGTGCCTAAATGGAGTGGCCTACTACACTCGTAGGCAGTATTACACTGGTAAAGGACCACACTCAGAGACTCATCTCTTCTGACTGGTGTTATGCAGAGGACAGCTGTTGAATTTAAAGGTCAAACTTCTAAAGGTTAAAATAATGATGCTATATTTCTACTAAGCAGATAACAGATAAAGTCTGTTTTTTTTGTACTAGGAAAAATTGAAACAATTTTAGCATAGGGGATTTTAAAGATTTATATGTATATATATATATATGAGAGAATATTTTTCAGCTATTAAAATAATAAAAACTAGTATTATATAGAGAAAACAAAGTTTATAAGGACATATGATTTATAGGACTGAACATTGCATTTGTAATCTACACATAAAGAAGGGGGAAAAAAGTACACGTTATATACTGTGAAAAGAATGCTATGGGAGGCCATTGGGTTGGGCCAGCCTCCTTATTAGGCCCCAGCAGACCAGACCAAACTAGAAATGGAGTCATGGTGCTGTGTCAGGTAATCACACTGGCCTTTGAAGTGGTCAGCTTCCCCCCAAACAAGATTTAATTGGCCTAAGTCAGGAAGTTCCCTTTCTTTGTCCTGACACTGCTTGCCTCCCCTTTTCTTTCTGTAAAGCCAAACTCT